TCCCACGCGGGGAGTGAACCCCTTCCCACGCAGGCAGCCTGCTGAAGGAGCGAAGGGAGAGATGTGACCGACCCACCTGGCAGCCGTGGGATAGGATGACAACGACGCAGCAGTCCAAGGCGCTGTGGTCCCGCCGTGCCAGCCTCTGCAGCTCTGAAACCATCTCCTACAGGGAAAACAACACGGGAAGAGTTTTTGGAAGCACACCTCAGCCACAGATTATTGCTAAGCCGTGTGCTTATCAGGCTCACATGGCTGCGCTGCTCAGAAGGATCTGATCCATCTCTCCACTGCCTTCCGTCCAGTGGGATCATGCACACCCCACGTGCAGGTGGCAAAAGCCATCAGCAGAGAGTGAGCATTTGTGCGGTTCTGCCCTTATTTACCATCGGGTGCTTTAATTACACAGATTTCTCTCTTCACTGCATCCATAACAACACAGGAACGTCAACCAAATCACTCTTCCATGCCATTTATCGACTGAAATACGCTGCTGCTGGTTCAGGACCAGTGGGTGAGGAGAGAACCTTGTTCTAATTTCAGCAGCCGCTCCGGATGATTGAGCTCCCCGCGCTGCTGAGGGCTGTACGGACAGGCAGATCACACCCCTCGCTGCACACGAGGCAGAGGCTGTCAGAGCTATTGTAGAAAAACAGCCTCAGCTATTTCCCTGCAAATCACAACTGGGAATCAAAGTTCAGGCAGAAGGGGGAAAAGGGGCAAGGTCCTTTCTCCTTCTGCTACAGCAGCACGATAATGTAATAACAGGGTGCGAGCGGTGGATTATTTCTTCGTGCAGCACAGGCTGGGCCTTTTGGCGTGCGGCCAACACGGGGGCACGTCCCATAACGTGCTCCTGTAACTTCCAGGGATGGGCCTCTCGTCCCCAGCATTACCTGGACACGGATGGTCTCACCTGAGCTTTGAGATCTCGCCGAGTCAGGACGTGGAAGCGCAAGGCCCTGAAACGCCTCTCCAGCTTCTCGCAGTCCACGTCGGAGCCTTCTCGAGTCGACAGATCCGAGTCTCTACTGAAGTTGACGTTGTTGAGGATCAGGCAGTGTCCGCAGGGGTCCCCTTTCAGCTCGTACACCTGCCAGGAACACATCCTGATTAAACACCCTCTTACTTGGAGCACTGGCTGGCTAATCCAGCAGGATGCAACGTCAACGAGTCCTTAAAGCTGCTCATTTCGCAGCTTTTTCATTTCTCCAAGCCTGGGGATGCAGGAGAGCATCCGTTCTACATGTGCTTGTTGTTATCAGCAGCCAGGGAACACAAAACAACCCACCAAATCAAGGACCTTTCCACCTTTGTGGCAAACCGGCTGCTTCTTTACCCACAGCATCTCTGATGGCAAGCTGAAGTTTCCAGGAGTTTTTTCTTAGGCATCATCATCAAACCTCCCCACAAGAGCCCATACAAGGAGCCAAGAGAACACACAGATAAATCTCCCGGACACTCAGCTTTACCATCAACAACAGCACTGCAGGAATTTTATGAGGGCTCCCCAAACACCTGCGCTGACACAGACAGAGCCAAACCACTCCCCCCCGCATCAGATACCCCCAGGCAGGCTGCAGCTACCAGGAGGCGACTCCCGATCCGCTCGCTTCCCTGCGTGTTTCCCGACGCGCCCCAGCGTGCTGCACGTGTTCACGAGTGTTTTCCTGGCATCTGTCTCTCAAAGCTGTAACTACAAAATCTAAACACCACTTCACAGACAACACGTGACTGGGAGCCTCTGGAAATGAAGCGTGAGCTTTAGCTCTGTGTTGTTCTTTGTGTCACAGCTGTGGTTATCTGAGGGAGGAGCTGGCGCAGGCTGACTCGCTCTGAGCTGATCTCCCAGCCTCGGAGTGATCACTCAGACAACACAAAGCAAGAACCAGCTGCCCCGGGGGTAATTCCTGGCAGCCACCCTCAAGGCAGGGAGCTTTTGCTCAACAGGGAACACTTTTAGCCTAACCAAATACTAACCAGATCGTGGTTCCTCTTGTCACCAGCTGAACCTGTAACACAAAACAGAGACACGGTATTTAGCTCCCCGCACTCCCTAAAATTAATATCAATCCTGTTAATTCCTCTTGCAATCCTTCTAAAATTAACATCAATCCTTCCCTCCTCTCACTTGTGACACAAGTGACATGGAGGAATACCCCCTTCCCACCCTGCTGCACGCTGGAAGGAGCCTTTGGCACATTGTCCCTCTGGAAGAGCTTGGGACACGACTTACCCCGGGCTGCTGCAGGAGGCCTTTGAGGTCTTTCGCTCTCAGCTTGGACTGGGACAGACAAACGTTCGGGGAAGTTCATATCTGTGAGGACAAAGAACAGTCAGGTCTCACCTTCTCCTCCTCTCCTATGAGGACAGGCTGAGAGAGTTGGGGCTGTTGAGCCTGGAGAAGAGAAGGCTCCAGGGAGATCTTATAGCGGCCTCCCAGTACCTGAAGGGGCTACAAGAAACCTGGGGAGGGACTTTTCATAAGGGCAGTTAATGACAAAACAAGGGGAAATGGGTTTAAGCTGAAAGAGGGGAGGTTTAGATGAGATATTAGGAAGAAGTTCTTCACTGTGAGGGTGGTCAGACACTGGAACAGGTTGCCCAAGGAAGTTGTGGATGCCCCCTCCCTGGAAGTGTTGAAGGCCAGGTTGGATGAGGCTTTGAGCAACCTGGTCTAGTGGAAGGTGTCCCTGCTGCTGGCAGGGGGGTTGGGACTGGATGAGCTTTAAGGTCCCTCCCAACTCAAACCATTCTATGATTCTATGATTTCACGCTACAAGTAACCAACCAACCCACCCAGGGTCCCCGAAAGGACCTGAGCCAACGGCCGCCTGTCGCGGCCACCCCGCGATACGACATCACGTCTGTGTTCCCCACTTCAGGCTTCCACAGACTCAAGCTTCTTCTTACAGCCACACAAGCCGATCCCCACGCAGAGTCAGAGAGCAAAGACACCGCACAATCTGTTTCCACCCAGGTACCACAGAGGTTAGGTGGAAAAACACAGAGAACGAAGCTCCCGACACCAGGGGCACAGAGCTGGAGCTTCAAACTTCTGCTACTGGAAAGCGCAACGTTCTCCCAGCAGCTCTGCGCAGTCCCCTCGACGAGCCACGCTCCAGGATAATAAAATATCAGGACTCCACAGACTAACAGCCATGGCAAGAGGGATCCCAGCTGCCATCCCCACACTGCTGTTCCCCTGGAGAACAACAGCACCCTCAACACTTACTCTGAGGAGGCTTTTCTCTGCGTACATCCAGCTCCACAGGCCTCAGCTCCACCAGCTGCTGCGGCGCCGGTGGGAATTCACACTCCTTGGTCAGCATGTCCGCGAGGTCACCCTGCCCCGTGTCCCGCAGGATCGAGAGGAAGAGAGGAAAAGCCTGTTTCCCTCGAGTCTCCAGGTCAATAACCAGCTGTCGGGCTTGTTCTCCTCGGCTGCCGGCGCTCTGCAGAGGAGGAGAACCCAGGACAAGGTG